ATAAAAAATATAAAAAAAAAAAAAAAAAAAAAGCTATAAAAATTGTTGCTGTAAATAGTTCTATAAAAAGATCTTCAAGATAAAAAAATTAAATATATAACAAATTTTTTCCTTAAGTATTTCCATCTATTTTTTTCTTTATATAAAAATATGTATTTCATTATTTATACATTATTTTTTTTTTTTTAAGAAATAGTGTATTAATTGAAATTGATGAAAAAACTAAAATACTTATAATTTGCAATTTCATAAAATATACATATAATATTTTAATTTTCAAAAATATGAAAAAATGTTATATAACAATTTAAAAAGATTACAATCTACTATAATTAAAAAATTTTATTCTAGTCTATAAAAAAACAAAAAAAAAAAAAAAAAATAAAAAAATTAATTATGAAAAACTTATTAAAATGATATATTTAAAAAAAAATTGGATTAAATAATATATAAATAAAAAAAAAAAAAAAAAAAAAAAAAAAAAAAAAAAAAAAAAAAAAACAAATATATATATATATGTAAATAATATGAAATTAATTTAAAAATATTAAATATATTTTGTAAAATAAATATTAAAAAGAACGTGTATATTAATAAAATAAGATTTTGCTTTATCTGTAAGTGGTTTTTTTTATAATGTATTTATTTTAATTTTTAATATTTCAATATACTTATTTTTGAATATTACAATATAGTTTTAAAAATTTTTCATAAATTTTAAAAAAAATCTGATAGAATATTATCTTCAGAAAATTCTTTGTTTTTGTATAATTTCCATGTTCTATCAAAAGATGTGGAAGAAATAAAATTACCATCTGGGGAAATATCAACATTTCTAACTTTGTTATCATTGTTGTATAAAATTTTTGTGCAGTAAAAATTTACGGAGTCCCATATTTTAATAAAAGTGTCAAAAGAACTGGAAGTAATATATCTTCCATACATTGGCTCAAAAATGACATCAGTAACAATTTTATTATGAGCTAATATATTACAAGATGTTTGAAAATTTCTTAAGTCAAATACTTTAATAGTATTATCAGATGAACAAGTGCAAAACATATTTGATATAAACGGATTAAAATTTATATTCATTATGCATTTATTATGAACAATTTTTTTTTCTATACTTCTTCCTGTTCGAATATCCCATAGCATTAATCCACCTTTTGTATCTCCTGATAAATATAAGTTTCCATATGTATTGAAAGCAACTGAGTAAACATTACTATTGTGACCTTCTTGATAGAATAATTCTTTATTTGTTTCAATATCAAAAAATTTTATAGTTTCATCTTCTGAACATGTTAATACATACTTATTTAATGGGTGAAAACATATCTTATTTATTCTGTCTTCATGTGCTTTTACCTTACATAACAAATTTTTACTACTTTGATCATTTTTTTCGTCTTTATAATTTATTTCTTCCTGATTTTGTTCATCATAATTTTCATCATTTTTTTTTTCTCCTATTTTCTCATTATATGCTTCATTAGAATCATCACTATTCCTTTTCTTAGCTTCACTATTTTTTTTATTTGAAGAAATATTTTCTTCATCACTTAAAAATGGTCTCCATATACAAAATGTTTTATCTGATGAACAAGAAGCTAGCAATAAATCTTTTTTTGATATATTATTATAATTTAAAGTACTATAATATGAATAATTATTTGGAAAATTCCATTCTATGCAATTTATCTTATCATCATGACCTTTTTTAAGAGTTTTTATTAAATTATAATTATCATTTCTGTAGTTAAATATATTTATATAGGTATTATAACTACTAACAGCAAAAACACTATTATCAGGAGAAAATTTTCCCATGGTTAAGGGTCTATCATCTCCCAGTTGAGAAATATATAAATCTAAATAATTTTTCATATTTTCATTATAAGATGTTATATAATTTTCAAAATCTTCTTTAGAATACTTCTTCTGAAATTTATTTATCATTTCTTTATATAAAAATATTCTGGGCAAAGTATTTATCGTTATATCTATTCTTGCTAATTTCAATTCTTCTGTACTTTCAGTATAAAACTTTTCTTTTAAATTATTATCCTCTTCTTTACTTATTGCAATATGCTTACTTAATGTTTTTTTTTTTAATTCTTCTTCAAAATCATTTACTTTTGTGAATTCTGAAGAACTTAAATCATACAAATTACTAAAGTCAATATAATATTTTTTTAAAATGTTTTGAAATTCTTCTATTTCTTCCTCATTTTCACTTTGTTTTTTAATGATTAATTTATTATATTTAGTAATTAGTATATTCTTTAATCTTTTTCTTTTATCATAGCTATCTTCACCAAATAAACAAATTGGTTCTTTTAACAATCTTAAAATATTTTTCACATCTAAATCTTTTGTTGGTATTCCTACGCAAACTTTCCTTATTTTACTTTTTATTTCAAATTCTTCTAATATTTGTTCGTTATTAATTTCATAGCTATTTAAGTCATTTTTCTTTAATTTTAAATTTTCTTGTATTCTCGATTCATTAAAAATATCATTTGTTTTCATTTTTCCAAGCGTAATATGTATAAAAAAAATAAAATAAAAAAATATTTTATAAAGATCTTTAGCAAGTTATAAATTTTTTTTGTAATTTTCTCATTTTTTTTTTTAATTTTTAATAATTATATATTTATCAAATTTTTAATTTAAAAATATTATGAGAAGGAAAAAAAAATATAAATTATTAATGTACTATTTTTTGTAATAAATTTTTCTATAAAAATATTTTAATATATATTCAAATATTATAAAAAAACTATATATTTTTTTATTAAAAACAGAACACTCAACCAAAATACCTTAAATAAAAAAAATAAATATGGAATAAATATGAGATTAAAACAATATAGGTATAATATGAAATAAAATAAGGAAAAGTCATTTATTAAAATTAATTTAACTTCAAAATACTATTTAGATAGTGAAATAATTGTTATTTCTCATAATTTAAGCCAATAGCTTAAATTTAAAATATATTAACTAAAAATATTATTAAAAAATTGTTCATTTATTTTTTACTTTTTTTTTTTTTTTTTTTTTTTTTTTTTTAACCATATTATTTTTATTAACTAAGATTNTTTTAAAAAAATTTTTTTTTTTTTTTTTTTTTTTTTTTTTTTTTTTTTTTTTTTTTTTTTTTTTTTTTAACCATATTATTTTTATTAACTAAGATTCTATTTAAAAATTTTAAGACATTTTTAAAGAAAAGTCATTAAGAAATATTGATATATTCGTATATTTTTATATACATTTACTTTTTTAAAAGTATTATATTTCTTATTTTACTTTTTTTTATGTTTCTATTATTTTTATTGAAAAATTTTAATTATTTTTATTTAGAAGTATTACACATTCTATTTAAAATATGTACTTTTTTAAAATAAAAAAAAAGAAAAGAAAAGAAAAGAATATGGAGAAATAATATTAAAAAAATAAATATATAAAAAATATGCATATAGAAAATTTTGAATAAATTATTTTTTTATTTTTACTATTTGTTTTTATATTATTTTCATTTTTACTATTATTTTAATTTTTTTTTTTTATATTTTTTTTTTTTTTGTTAAAATACAAATTTGTAAGAACTATTTATCTTAAAAAAAAAAAAAATGGAAAATTAAATAAAACTTATAAAAATGTTTATTGTTATAATATTTGTGAAATAAAAGATATCCACATAAATAAACATACACATATTAAACAAAAAGGAATCTGTAAAAAATGTGTGTGCAATCAATTATGATTTAAAAATGAAAATATATTTACATATAAATCATATTTATAAAAAACAGAATGTATGTTTTCGTTCTATGTAACATTTAAAGTTAATCGTATTAAGATTATTAAATTTAAACTCGTTGTAATAATTTATAATTTTCTTTTTCTTTTTTTTTTTTGTTCTTACAACTTTTTTTTTTTTTTTTTTTTTTTTATTGTAACACAAAAAGTAATTTTAAATTATATGTTTTCTATTAAAAAAATAATTATATTAATATATATATATATAATTAGTTCCAAAATAATAACGTATAAATTAACCTTTAAGGAAAATGAGTGATGTATGCAACTAAATTATTTAAAAATATTTTTATATATAATATCACTATAATTTGATTTTTAAAATAAACAAAAATATGATTGTAGTTCATATATAATTTTTATTTTTTTTTTGACAGAAATATAAAATGAAATGTAAAATATATTAAATATTACTCTCCCTTATAAAATCTTATCATCTTAACAAAAAAAATTTGAAGATATTTTCAAAGAAATAATATATGTATATAAGTAATTATAACGTAAAAAAAAAAAAAAAAAATAGGTCTGCATATAGTTGAAAATAAAGCATATGAACTTTTAAATAAAAATTATAAATGATTAAATTTAGTATAGTTTAAATCAAAAATGATTCAAAAACTTCTTTCAGATATATTAAACAAAATTTTGGGAAATTTTATTTATGGATTAAATGATGAACAGTTTGGTTTAAGTGATTTACTCAGTGGGAAATTAGAATTAACGAATATTCATTTTAAGCAATCTGTTATTGATTTACTTGATATCCCGTGTAGGTTAAATTTTGGATGTGTTGGATATTTTAAAATTAATTTGCCCCTTTTTTATTTTATGAAAAATCCAATAAATATATATATAGAAGATGTTATAATAGTATTATCTACGATTCCTTCCAAATATTGGGATGATAAACTATTTAAAGAAAAATATATAGAGAACAAAAAAAATTTATTATTGTCTTCTGAATACAGAGCCATTGTATGTTCAGTGGAAGGCGGGGTTATATGGCAAATGATTTTATCGTTAATCAATAATATATATATATCTATTAAAAATGTTCATATTAGAATTGAAGATTTTACTAGCAATCCTTCTAATTGCTTTTCTTTTGGAATAAACATAGAAGAATTATTTTTAAATTTACCTAAAGAGGGACTTCCTTTTAAAAGGGATGGATATTATACCAAAAAAAATGAATTGGTTAATAATACTATGATCAATATGATCACTGTCAAGAAATTAGGTTTTTATATGGATTATTTAAATATGAAAAAAATGATGAATAAAAAGCATTACTCCCAATGGAATGATATATTTATGAGTAACATTAATAACTCAGATTATGAAAAAAAAAAAATTCCAAGAAAAAAAAACAGACGATGTGAAAAAAAATTTGATCTTAAGAGCAAAAAGAATATTAAAAGCAATGAAGAAAATTTAAAAGATTTTCAAGAAATTATTAAAAATATAAAAGATGGATTCTCTGAACCCCATATAAGTGAAATGGGGAGTACAAGAATAAATAAAATAAATCAAAAGATTTTAGAATTAAATGAAAAAATTCTTAAAATAAATCATAATAATAAAAATGATAAAAATAATGAAAATAATTATATAAATAGTAATAAAAATAACAATAATAATAAAAATGCTAATTTTTCCAATTTTAAAGGTAACTTTTATAATTTCTACCTTTTTTCTAAAAAAGGAGAGAAATCAGTGCCAATACTTCAAGACTTTAATATTGATAATGATGTTAGCTGGATTTCTTGTATTGTTAAATTTTCTGATTCATTAGAAAATAAATTAATCAAAGAAAAAAAAGAAGAATTATTGAAAAAGAAAAAAAAAAAAAGCAGAGTTAACAATAATAATAACAATGATAATAATAAAGTTTCATTTAATGATGAAAACATAAGAATTCAAAATAAAGGAAAAAATTATATAAACAAAGCAGTTTCTTTCTTTTCTATAAGTTCTTTTACAAATATACTCAATAAAAATTTTTTAAAAAGAAATAATAATAATAATCATAGCAATAATGGAAATAATAATATCATTGATGATAATGTGAATGAAGGCTATTTCACTACTAGAGAAAGTTTATCTGATCCAAATTTTAATAATGATCCCTGTATGTCTAAAAATAAAAAGAAAAAAAAAAGAATCAAAAAATATGTACATTTAAAAAATAAAAAGAAAGATGGAGAAAAATATTATGACGTTATAGAAGATTATGAAAATTTTAATAGTAATTGCTATAATTATTATTTAGGAAAAAATGACAAAATTTATTTAAATTTTGTAAGTAATGAAAAAAATAGGAAAAAGGAAGAAAAGGGAAATAATAATATAGTAAGCTACTACGAAAACTACATAGATTTAGAAGACAAAAAAAAGGAAAAAATTATAGAAGAGAATCGAATTTTGAAATATATAAAAAAGAATGAAATAAAAGAAAAAATAAGAAGGAAAAAAAGGAAAAAAATTGATTCTGTTTATTTAATGTATGAAAAAACATATAAAATAAACAAAACAAAGTTAAATTCCTTTTTCATATTTTTACAACTTATCAAAAATATAAAACATGATTATATTATAAATCCGAATTTTTTTGAGGGCTATGGAGAAATTTATCTAAGTTTAATTCCAACTGACCATGGTGAACTTCCTTTTTCCCGATGTTTTTCAAGTTGGGGTATTCAAAAAAGAAGCGAAAAAGAATTTGAAGAATGCTTACCTAAATTAAGTATATATGTTACTTTAAAAAATATGAAAATAATTTTTTCTGATAAACAAATGTTTAACACTGTAAAATGGCTAAATTTGAACTTCTTTACATATTCTATTTGGAAGGCGGGAATATTATCACAATTTGAAAAGTCTAAGGCAAATAATGAGGAGGAAATTACATATATAAATAAATGGGTGTTAAAATTATTGGACACTTATAATTCAAAAGAAGAAAAAATAGAAGTAGAAAAATATTGTGAAGAATTTGAAAATAATCATTCCATACATATAATTAATTTATTAAGAAGTAAAGCTTTTTGTAAGTTACAAGAACTAAAAAAAGAAGTAGAATTAAAGAATAATAATAATATTATTAATCAAAAAGAAAGTAAAAATATAGAAAATAATAATAATAAAAATAATGAACTTAAACATGTTGCAAATGAAAGTATCCACTTTTTAAAAAATTTAATGAAAAATCAAAAAACATATAATAAAATAAAAAATTCATTCAGAGAAAAAATTTTTACTATTGATTTATGTGTTGATATTTGTATAACAAACAGTGCATTTTTATTAACAGTGGAAACATATAATACTATAAATAATAGAAAAGCTAATTTTGTTAAAATTTATGCTCTTTTAATGCAATGCTTACATTATCATAATCAGATATCTAACACACATGAATTAAGAAATTCAATAGATGTAGAATTGTATCCATTAACTTTGCTTCTTGTAACAAATAATTTAGAAAATAAATACATAAAACCAGATATAAATGTATTATATATACTAACAAAGGCAGACAAAAAAAATTATTATGAAAATAAACACACAAATTTTCTCTTTAAAGGAGCAAATTTTGAAATTATTAAGAAATATAAATTGTTAAAAAGAAATTATTTTAATAGAAAATCGAGAGACGAAAATGAAACATTAAATTTTGGTAATTTGAGGGAAAAGTTAAAGTTTTTAACAGAAGAAAATTTTTTTTTTTCAAAAAGACAAAATAACATGTATTGTGACGAATTAAATGATATAATGTTTTATGACCCTTCTTTATACTTAAGATATGATAATCAATCATATACAATATTAGAAAAACCAGATCATAGATTATTTTTACATAATTGTGCATATTCTATATTAAATATAAATACAGAAATAGTAAATTCATTTATTGATGATTATTTTCATTTTACGGATAGAAGAGCAGTGTTATCAAAGAAAAAAGAAAAAAAATTTTCTTTTAAAAAAAAAGAATACTTTTTAGAATTAGGTGCCAAATATTGTAATGATATTTTAGACAATTATACCAGACATACTAATGTTTTTTTAGATATAGAATTAGAAAAAATTCTATCAGTTATTATTACAAAATCAGGAAAAAGTACAGAAATTCAAGGATATAGTTTAAGTCTTAACCCTGTTAAAATCATGAGTAAATTATCAACAAGATTAAAATCTTATGAAGGATCTACAAAAAATAGTCTTTATGATTCTTTTTTTGTTCATTTTAATGGAATTAAGATAAAGAGAATACTCAATTGGCCTCAAGCTGCAAAAAATTATAACACTTACTTAGATGATAACTTTATTAAACCTTATCATCTTCTATTTTTATCTCAAAACAAAGATTTTTTTTTAGATAAAAATAGAACTCCAGATAAGTTTTCATTTAATCTAAGTGACAAAAAGAATAAAGAAATTAAAGATGGAGATAACATTAAAAATAAAAATATCATTATTAATTCAAATAATAGTAATAATAATAGCCTTAATAATTGTAGTGATGGAAACAAATCTGAAATATATGGTTTGCGAATAAGTAAAAAAAATTCATACAACACTTGTTCTATTTCTGAATATAACAATAGAAGAAAAATAAGTGTTAAAAGGTCTTCAAGTTGCCCATGTAATAATTTTAATAACTTAAATTTATCCAGAAATGATATAGAAGATAAACGTAGTGAAAAACAAAATTCCAACTTAAACGAAAATAGTAAACAAATAAATTTAACAAATAAAAAATATAATTTATTTTTTTTTAAATCATGTCTTAATCCACTTCAAGAAGAAGAAGAAGAACTAAAAAGTGACGATTTTTACAAAAATTATAAAAATAATTGGAACAGTATGACCAATATTTATGGTATTGACGATATAATTTTTAAAAATAAGAAAAAAAACATTAATGATTCCAATTATGTTTTTACAATGAGTGAAAAAACATTCTGTTCCATTGAATTGTGCCATATTAAATTTAATCCTATTTACCCTATGTTTATTATTAAAATAAATGAAGAAGATCTATACATTAATATCTGCGATTATGATATTGAATTTTTTTTTCTCATATTTACGGATATTTATGAGCATTACACATTACAAGAATTAACAAATAAAAAAAAAAATATTTTATTTTTAAAAAAAAAAATAAAGTCATTATCTAAATTAAACAGCAAATATTATAAATCAAAGATTATTGATAATAATGGGATGTCCTATAACAGCTATAATTTATCCATTTTAAAGAAAAAATCTTCTCATAAAAAAAAAGTTACTAATGAAAAAAAAAGAAGTGATAAAAAGGGAAAAACTAAATATTTAAAAAAAAGAGAGAAATATGAAAAATGTCTCACTGATAAAAGAGCAACTTTAAAAAACAACAATCTTATATTAGATGATATCAAGAAAAAAAAATTGCTTAAAAAAGAAAGTTCAAAAAGTTTTAATTTAGAACAAAATAAGGAAACTAAGATGAATAATTGCATAGAAAATGTAACAAAAAAAGTGGAAAATATGAAGAAATATCATGGAAGCAATAAGGAAACATTTACTAGATATTTAAGTGATAGTAACATTGGAGTAAATAAAACAAAATTGTCTATTTCAAAATATAAAAATAATTCCATCACAAATAATTCTGTAAAACAATTTCATGAATATGATGAATATAATATTAGTAGAAAAAATAATGCCTATATTTCTTTTAACTGTGATGGAAATAAAACAAAAGGGAAATTTTCTAATTCAATAATGCAAAATAAAAAGATAAGTGAAACAGATAATGGTAATTTTCACCTTAATAATGATGAAAAAAAGAGCACATTAAATCGAAATATTAGTAATATTATAAATCTAAATGAATTTTCTGATTCTTATCTGTTAAATAAAAGAAGAGTATTAATGAGGGAAGAAAATTATTATTCCAATTCATCATCTCTTAGTTATTATATACATAATTCATATAAAAAAAGTAAAAAAAAAGAAGGAAACAAAAACAAAAAAACAAAAAGAAAAAAAAAAAAATCAAAAATAAAAGCAGCAAAAACGTATGAAAACATCTCTTCTGAAGACGATTCATGGGTTGATTTAGTAGAAAATTATGAAAGTGATGAATCATTAGATGATTTTGAAAAGAAAAAAGTGAAAAATATGTTAAATGATATAGAAAATATTAAAAAAAGATTATCTAATGATAATTTTACTATTACGTGCAGTTTTTCTTTTTCTATTAAAAAAATATTTATACGATTATGGAAAAGAAAAAGTCCACTGAAGCAGAAAAACAAATATAATGATCTCAAGTATTTTAGTAGTTTTCATTTATTAGAAAACCTTTCAAACTCAGAAAATAAAAATAAATTCTGTGAAAATAAAACAAAATTAAATAGTGAATTCGATGAATACAAAATGGATAATGAAAATAGCTGTAATGTGACAAGTATATTAAAAGAACAAGAAATGGATATTTTGCATTGTAACAAAAAAAATAATATTCAAGGAGAAAATGAAGATTCCTTTTTCTTTAATAAAAATTTTATTACTTTAAATGAAAACTTGCAAAAAAATATGTTTAATAATATGCAAAATGCCTTTCCATTGTATACTTTAATTTTTTCTGACATTTTTTTTGTTGCTAAAGTTGAAAAAAATAGTTGTGCATATGTTTTATATTCTATAGATAATATAGATATAAGAGATGAAACAAATATTACATTATTAAGTATGAGTTCTATTTATCACAGTGATTTGAAAATAGTGAAAAAAAGCACATTTTCAAATTATGAAAAGTTAAGAAATATAGCAAAGTTAGATAATACAAGTAACAAAGAAAAGAGAAATAAAATACAATCAAAAAATGAATATAAACTTATGGAAACAAAAGATACATTTTTAAATAATTGTGTATACAAAATTGATTTACCAGACCTTGAAAAGACACATCTTGTTCTAATATATTATGGTTTCCTATTTAAAAATAATCATTCTTTTAAATTTATTTTAAATAAGATGAAAATTAAAATTTTTTGGGAGATAATAGATGAATTTGTTGTGTGGATTTTAAACATAAATGATTTATTACCAAAAATGCATGTAATTGAAAAAGAAATAATCCGTAATTTAGATGAAAGTGAAAATAAGCATTTAAATTGCTTACAAAAAATTCAACAAATAAATTATGATATTTTATATTTTAATACAAAAAGTTTTTCCTCTTCTTCAGTAGAAGGATACAAAATACCTTATAATATTTTAATAAATTATTATAATTTAAAATTTTCGATTTATGGTAGTGATAATACTGATTATGATAAAGAAGAAAATACAATATTTCATAAAAGAGAAGAAGAAGAAAATGAAGAATTTTATATTATTACTAATGATAAATTATATAGTAATAATAATAATATTATATTCATTAATAATAAAACAGATATAAATAAAACTATAAAGGATATATTATTTAATGAAAATTACTTTTTTAACTATAATTTTAACAAAGTTAACAAAAACAGAAATATTGGTAATATTTTAAGTGGAATTGATCTAAAAGATGTTGATAGTGATAATAAGAATAAATATATAGAAAAAAAAAGCTCTATGAAATCAGCTCGATCCCTTCTACATGATTCTTCATTTAATAAACAGAAGGATACATTTATAAGAAAAGAGCAATTTTTTGAATTATGCGATAATGATTTAAAAAAAAAAGAATTATACGATGATTTAAAAGATGAAGAAAACTGCTCCGATTGTTGCCATATGATGAATTTACATTATACTTCATACACAAAAGAATTATGTAAAACAAAAGATTATCCATATGTTCACATAGATGTAGAAATAAATTACTTTGAAATTTGGGTATCATTAGATCCAATTAGAATACCACAAAAAAAAACGAATTACTTAATAAATAATATAAATAAAAAACATTTTCTTAATGGAAAAAAAAAAAAAAAAATGAAAAATGAGGGATCATCAATGAAAATAAAGAAAAAAAACACAATAAAGAACAAGAAAACAAGGGAAAATGAGCATATTAGGGAGAGAAATTCACATAACTATAAAAATATAGTTGAATGTGAAGGAGAAGAAGAAAAAAAAAAAAAAAATTTTCGTGAAAAAATTAAATATTACAAAAATATTAATATAGAAAAACCCTATGTTTTAGCAACAAAAGGTTGCTTAAAGTCTGTCATTTTTTTTTTATTGTATGATGAAAAAAAACAAAAAAATGATAAGATAAGTGAAGATGATGAAGATGAAAAAAATAATGATTTAAGAAAATTAGAAAGTGCAGAAACTGTAATAAAATCGAATGACTTTCTTGAAGAATGTGACAAAAAAACTACCCTAAAAAATAAATTAATAGAGACATTAAATTATTCAAATTTAAATAATGTTTTAGATGTAAAAGATGCTTTAAAAAGTAATTTTATGTATTTCCTTAATTATATATCATCATTTCTTCCGTGTATTATGAATATGAATATATTTCTTTCTCAAATCACTAGTGCTATCAGTAAACCAGTAACAAAAAATTCATTTTTAAAAGCATATATTGATTGGAATAATGTTCCTTATAATAATATCCTTTTACAACCATGTAGATTAAACTTCAATTTTGAAATCAAGTTACCCAGTTCTGAGGCTTTATTAGAAAGATTTTTAGGAATTAATTTAATAACAAGCTTAAAACTTCTAAAAAAAAATAATTTAATTTATCAAAACGAGGTTGAAGGAATAGACATAAATTTTAGTTTTGAACCCATAGTTCTTAATGTAGATTCTAATTCATTAACTTTATTAAATCAGTTATATAATATTATATGTGATTCTTATAGCTATTTCATACAATTGTACTCCTCGAAAACTAAAGAGGAAAGAGATTCTTACATGATTAATTCATACAATGACCCTTTTTATGATAGTTTAGCTGATTTAATGCTATCTGATAATTTTTATTTTGATGTTAATGATACATCATCAGTTATCAATTTAAGTGATAATTTGTTAAACAATTCAGAATTAATTTCTAATGAAAGTGATATAGAAAAGAAGTTATCTTTTAAAAAATCAGAAAAAAATTTAAATTCAAATGCAAATAATGATCTTGACAGATTATATATCAGTTTTTATTTAAATAGTAATAATTCATATGCAAAAAATTTAAGTAAATTAGCAGTTAAAGAAAAAGATAAGGGAGAGAAAAAAGAAGAAAGCAAAAAGGAGATAGAAAGGAAAGAGAAAAAAAAAGAAGAGAAAAATAAGAAAGACATGAAAAAGGAAGAAGAAGAAGAAAAAGAAAAAGAGGGTAATGAAGAAATATTATCTACAAATAAATCTGAAAATAGTATTAAAGAAGAAGATAATAATTTTTTGAGTAGTAATTCTGATACAAAAATAAAAAATGAAAAATTTATAATGGACTATAGTTTACTTAGTATGTTAATTTTGAATTTCATAGAAAATATAAGGGTAAATTTTAATATAAATTTTGATATTATCATTTTTCAAATATGGGACTCCAATACAGCCTACAATAGATGTTCTTTAAATTTTGTTATAGAATATTTCCGTATTAATTTTTATACCTTAAATATATATGAAAAGGATTTACGCAATGATAGCTTGGAACTATTTAAATTAAAAAAGAATTCTTCATATCAAAAAAAAAATTTTAATTTAAATGACAAAATTACAAATAATAAAGAATTTATTATGAATTATAAAAAAAGTGATGCCTTTAAGAAAAATATAAAATCCTCTTTAATTAAAAAACAAAATTTAGATTGTTCCACATATGATGATAAAATGTTAAGGGAGTATAATAATGATGGTTGTAAATTCAATTCATGTAAATCTAATATTATTTATTCATATAATAACGAAAAAAAAAATAGAAACAACATATATATATCTAGTAAAACTGCAGTAGTTTCCAATAAAAATACTCCTTCAAAATATTATAATGAAAAAAGAACAATATCATTGAATAATGATTATAATAAAATTGTCATACAAAAAATGAATGAAATAAATGATAAATATCTATATAATACAGGAAATTTTGATAATAATTTAAATGATTCATGCATCTCTAAGTATGAAACATTAAATACATTTAAAAAAGAAACTAACAAAGTTAAGAGGGATAAGGGAATATGGAAATTATTTAATAAGGAAAATTTTATTAAAAATTTAAAGCAATTTAAAATAGAAATAATAAAAATTTTTAAAAAAATTTTTTGTAGAAAAAAAATTGATGATGATTTAGAATTCACTGAGATAGAGGGGAAAAATAACATAAAAGTAGAAAGTAATAAATATAAAAACATTAATAAAATTTTTCTAAAAAACGAATCTATGTATAATAATATTAAAAATTATAATGAAAATAAAAAAGGTAAAAATGTCGAATGTAAGATAGAATTTTTAATATATTGTCAAAATTTTAATAAAAAAGAAAATTCTTATCAAACATTTATTGAACCTATATGTACTGAAATTATTGCAATAAAAAAAAAATTAAGCTCTCCAATTCATTTATATTATTATTTTTCATGGTTAAATATTAACTTGAATTTTAACTTCTTAGATAATCTTTTATCATTGTGCTGTAGCGTTATTTTTTCAATGATAACTCAAAGAACACGATTATTACTGGGGAGACATATTAATGATATAGATAAAAAAAAAAATTATAAAAAAATTAATGAAACAAATAAAAACGATAAAATTGATGATACTTCATCGAAATATCCATATACAAATAACACAGTTTATCAAACTGAATATGATGAAACCAATACAGAGAAAAAAAATGTAAGTGAAGTAGATGATACCCTTACATCAATGTTATTACCAAATTATTATGGGGCATTTAATGATGAACAATACAAAGACTTAATTCTTATGACTAATGAAAATCTACTTTTCAGATATAATAAACTTGACGTTTTACGAATTGTAAATAGATCGTTAGATACTTATATATTCGGTGAATTAATATTAGAAAAGTTGCTTAGAAATTATCAATACTCTTGTCAGTATCCAGGTGATTATTTAGCAAAGTATGAAAATGAATTTAATGTAGAAAAATTAAATACACATTCCCAACAAGTTCTACATATTAAATTATTTAATTATATTAAAAAAAAAAAAAGATTAGAAATGAATAATATTTGTAAGATAAATAATTTATTGGGGCAACCAATAGCCATTTGTACAATACAAGAAAAAAAATGCTCATATAAAGATACAAATAAAAAGAATGAGAAAAATGAAAAAAAAAACAAAGAGAACTATATTAATAAATTAGAAGTATTACAAACTAGTAAAAATGATATAAAAAATGAACAACTGTTAAAAAATGATTCAAATAATAGTAATTCTAGTATAACAAAAAGAGATGACAAAAAGAATCAAAATAAGAAAAAATATGACAAATACAAAAAAATTAATAAAGAAAATATTATAAAAGAATATAGAAGACAAAAAAAAAATATAGATAATTTTAAAAGTAATAATTATCATATCATTGATTCGGATTCTTCTATAAATAAAAATAAAGATACTTTAAAATATCAGTGGAAAATAATTAGTAATAATGAATCACTAGATTTACCAACTCATGCAAACGGAAAAGTAAAATTTTTTCTTATTCGATTTAGATTACTTAATTATATTTATGATATTCCTTCTAATATTCTTAATACTGAAAAAGAAAATGAAGATGTTTTAAGATTAATTATTCCGGAAAGGAGGCTACCAGCTAATATAAATGAAAAAGTAGAACAAGATATATACAATGAAGAATTATTAGAAATGGAAAATTATTCATCTGGTAGTAATCCTATTACTCTTTATCCTACCAATTATAGCTTCAATAAATATTATACTAACCAAGATGAGTCATGGTGCCCTTCTAATATTCCTCAACCGCGTAACCATTTATTTATCTATTTCAGAACAAGCAGTAGAGTTAGTCATGAAGAAAAACAAGAATATGATTTTTTTATATCATCTATTGTGGCTATTAAAAACAACACAGATTTCCCCCTTTATATATTTAAATCTGTTCCAGGGAATGTTAACAAAACTAGTATTTTTAAAGAATATTTTCATAAATATAACACAAAACCAACCCCTCCACCTACTTATACATTAAAAATTGACAAAAAAATAGAAAAATTAATTGAATATAAGATGAATGCAAATGATTATTCCAATGAAAAAAAGAAAAAAAGAAATGGAAATGAATATAATATGGACAAAAAAAAAGTGTTCCACAATAATAATTTTTTTAATGATAATAGTGATGATAAAACAAGAAAGAACAATCATGCACAAAGTAATTTCTACTTAAAAAACAGAAAAATAATTAAAAATATATTACCATTAATGAAATTATCGTCAATTGAGCATTACATATCAGGAGACATTAAATTTAGTTCTTTAGCTCCTTTGAAGTATAAAAAAAAGAAAAGTGGAAAAAACAGATTAAAATATGAATTTCAAAAAAAAATAATAAAAAGGAAAATTAAGGAATTATATATAAAAAACGCGTTAAGTAAAACAAAACGAAAAAAAATTGATAAAAGTGAAAAAAAATATCTTAGTAATGAGAAGAATGAAGAATTTAACTATCTACCTAAATCATATAAAAATATAATGTCTCTAAATGACCCTTTTTTTAGTTTTATGAAAAAATCATCTACTTCTGTTTCTAAGAAACTATCTAATGATTCTTTACCCATAACAGATTTATCAAATATTAGTTTATCCTCTTTATCCAATTCTTTTTTTTCTAATCATAGTAAAACTTCTTCGTATGATAATTCTTTGTATGATTATGATAAAGAGAATTGTGAAGAACAAGCTTTATTAAATGAATACTTTAAAAAACAAGAGAATAAAAATATATTAGATCTTATTGAGATATCTAACAACTGTAATAAATTAATACCAATACCTCTATATTGGCTCGTAGCTGAAAACTCATTTATATGGATATGCATACAAAATGAAAAAATTCATAAAACTAATTTATATGACTTTTTAGATAATGAAAAAAATGCCGATTATTTATGTTCTAAGAATACCTTAGATAATATGTTAAATTATAAATCTCCATTTTTAGCAGAAACATTGAAACATTTTAAACCACATTTAATTAAATTGAAAAATCATTTATTAAAAGAAAATAAAATTTTAAGAAAAGACAAGAAAAATAACGAAAGTTTTATTAATAATTATAATATAAATTATATGAATTTAAAGGATCTTTATTTTACTTCATCTATTATTAGTGTATATAACCCTAATTATGTTTTAAATAAAAAAGATGCTCATAATTTTTATCAAATAAGTATTGAACATGTATTAATGATTAATAATGGACTACCCAAAACTATATTTTTATATTATGAAATTTTAAAAAATAATTCCAAAAAAAAAAAAAAAGGAAGGAAAAATAGTGATAGAAGTTATAATTCAGCTGATAAATATAATGCATATAAAACAGCGGCTTATAATTATGATTCTAGTTCTTTAGAAAATTCCTGTAATAGTAATAGTGACAAGATTTGCTCATGGAAGAAGAGTACTTTTGGAAAAGAGAAAAATAAAAATAATAATGGAATTTTATCTTGTGATGAAAATGAAGAACAAAATGTAAAAGAAAATATGTTTGATAGCATAAAAGAAACTTCAAATAATAGTGATAAAGATAATTTAAATTGTTCTTATAATCAAATAGAGAAATCAGAAATCTCTGAAGAAAAGAAAAAATGTAAAAATAACAAAAAAAAAGAAAAAAAAATTACATTGCTTATAGACAAATTAAATAAAAATTCATTGACAGAAAAAAATAAAATAAATAAAATAGATGATAATGAGAGAAGAGTGTTGGATGATAAGCATTTATTAATAAAAAAAGTGAATAATGATAAAAATGTATTTATATATAAAAATATTAAAAAAGAAAATAATATAGATGATAAAAATTTTAAAAGTGAAATAGAATTAGAGAAGATGAATTTCATAGTTAATATAAGAAAAGATAGTAATAAATATATTTACGAAATAAAAATTAATCCTGGTCAAAGTATAAAGTTACCATTTTTGCCTCATAATATAAATATTTCCTTTGATGGTTATTATTCAAAAAATATATCAATAAATTATCCACATAAAAAAGGGAGAGAAAAAATAATATTAGAGAAGGAAGCCAGTAACGATATAACTTCTTTTTTTACATTTGATTATGAAGAGAAACAAGAATCACATAGGAACATAGAAGCGAAAAGTTATACGTATTTTAAAAATTTTGATAATTATAATAATAATAATAGTACACATAATGTAAGTCATACAAATAATGATATCTTATATAAATCTAATGATTATTCCAATACATTTTCTTTGTCTAATAATACAAAAGGTATTGTGAATTATTTAGAATTAAGTAATCTAAAAAAGAAAAAAGTAGATAATTTATTAGGTAAATGTGCAAATTTTAAAACTTCAAAATACGAAGAATTTCAAAAAAAATTAACTATATGGGCAATTTTTAATGAGTTTTATGAAACTGGAAAAAATAGATATCAAGATATATCTTTAGAAAAAATTTATCATGGTACATATTCTGTTTCATGCACATTTTTTGCTTCAGCTTGTATAATAAATAGATTACATTATCCTATTAAATTAAAAAGATTAAATGATGAAAATGTAATTGTTATCGAACCATATGTTAGAAAATTACTACCTTGTGAATTTGTTTTACGTAGAAACAGAGTTATTATATCGTACGAAACATTAAAAGAAATAAAAAATTGGAGCAACTATCCATTGAAAAAATATATGATTAAAAAACCAAAATTTAGTAAAAAACGTAATATTATTAAAAAAAACAATGAAGTGTTAATTAGCCCATTTAATAAAAAATTTACTAATTGGATAAACGATTCTTTTAAAAGCAATTCAAATGATGACAAAAAAGAAGATACACAAGATACAGATAATATTATAAGAAGAGAGAATGATATTAATAACAATAATAATAATGACATTATTAATTATAACAATAATAATACTAATATCAATAATAATAATACTAATAATAATAATAATAATAATACAGATAATAATAATAATAAAGATAATAATAATAATAAAGATAATAATAATAATAATACAGATAATAATAATAATAATTATAATAACAGTAATAATAATGATAATGCAGATAATAATAATAATAATAATATGGAAAAAATGAAAATAAGAAAAATTCATTATGAAAGGAATATTTTCAGTAAAGTAAGAAAAAAAAAAAAAAAATGTTTTTTTTATGGTAGTAATGTAAAGAAACCTTTGGAATCAGAAGATTTTCGAATAACAGATTTATCAATTACAAGATTAACTTGTTCTAATAAAAATAATAATATACCCCAATTAAAATATAGTGTATATATGTCTATTGCACCTATGCCATTTTTCAGAACTACAGTTATGGAAATTTTACCTTACATAGTTATAATAAATAATACAAAAATGAACATAGTTTTTCAGGAATTTATAAAAAATTATACATATTTTAAATATAATACGTTAGAACCAGGGAATTATGTAGAATTTCATCCACAATCTAAAAAGAAAGTTATGTTAAAAATGTGTGGTATTTTTCAAAATAGTTTTAATTATTTAATAGATGATTACTTACAAAAGGAATTATATTTAGAAAGCTTGGAAAAGGAAAAAGAAAAATCAGCCGATGATATGAAAGAACATAATTATAATATAAAAAATAATTCAATCAGATATGATAAAAGTGATGAAAATAACATAAAAAATAATGATATATCAAAGAGATTAAGCGTTTTTATCGATATGGAGAAAAGTAATAACATAAACAACCATGCTTCATCAAAAAATTCTTCTAATACTAACAAAGAAAATTCCAATAAAATCATAGAAAATAAAAATAAAGATTCGTTTAAAAATAATATTGTAAAAAAATATAAATGTTTTGATAAATTTAAATTTTTGTGTTGGTCGGAAGTTTTAGATTTAACAAGAGTTAGTATGGTTTATTTTCGCCATCCGGTTGTGTCAAATGATAATTTTAAAAAAGAAGAAAATAAACTAAAAAAGATTAACTTTCTATTAAAAAGGAATGGTAAAAATGACGTTAAGCATCTAGATATTTATAAAGAATTAATAAGAGAAAAAGATATTCCATACGAATACAGTTGTTGTTCAATGGAAGTAACAACATTTAAAGGATGTAAATTTGTTCGTTTTCAAGATATTGATGTTGTTCCTTATTATTTAATTAATTTAACGAGATATGATATCCAATTAAGGCAGGTAGGTATTTATGAACATTCGGAAATTTTATATAAAATTCCAAAAAAAAAAAAGAAATCATTTGATAATATATTTAAAGATTACGCATTCAATTTTTCCTTTTACAACCCATACAAAGATCCTAAATTAAAGATTAACATATTATCAAGTAAAAGAAATGAAAAAAATAAAATTAAAAAAAAAAAAAATAGACATGGGAAAGAAAAAAATATAAATAATAAATTTACAAATATGTATAAGACAAATTTAAGAAATGAATTAAATTATTTAAGTTTATTAGCAACAAATTATATAACAGCTAATGAAGATGCAAAAATTATGAACAATAAAATTTTTCATTTAAAAAAACTTTCAGAACAAGTTGAAAATTTAAATGACGAAAATATAAATATAATTGATTTAAGAGATGGAAATAATATTACTCTATTAAAATTAAAAAAAGGGAATTTATTTATTTATATATTATGCACAAAAAAAACATATAATGGTAAAACTATTTTTTCATTTGAAAATTATGATGATTTAATAAATAGTATTTTAAATTTCAATAATATGTCTTTTAATAATAAATGCAATTATAAATTATTAAAATCATTCAATCTACTTAGTGGTAAAATTAAAAGTGAATATATAAAAAGTAGATATATGAAACAAAACAAAAACAAAAACAAAAATATAAAGAATATAAAAAGAAAAAAGGAAAATCAACATTTTTGGTATTTGCTCAATTTATTTAAAAAAAGAAACACAGTAAGTTCAACTGAAAAAGGTACAAAAACAAGTAATATTATAACTGATTTATATCAGAAAAAAGTTATGAATAAAGATGAAAAAAAAAAAATTTATTTGAACATGAATATTTTTGCACATTTTATTTTCAAGGGTATAGGAATAAGTATAAATAATCATAACTTAGAAGAAATTTTATATTTCTCTATGGAATATATTCTAATAGTTTATAAACTAATGAGTGAGAGAGACTTATTTCATATAAATATTGGATGGCTACAAATAGATAATCATACAAAAAATACAGATTATCAAAATGTGTTATTGCCAATTGTTGATTTAAAAAAAAAGGAGTTAAGCAATTTAATTAATACAAACGATAAATTTATGGAACACAATAGTGGAACATTAAAAAAGTTAACTAAAGACAACACATTATGTAAAAATGTGAATAATAATTCAAATGATGCTTTTCCATATTATATTAAAGATTACGATAATAATTCAAAAATAAACACACTCAATATATTAAATTCTTTATGCTCAAGAAGGAAAAGTTCATATGAATCATACACTGAAAAAGACCTTTTCATTAGTACTAATTGGAACAATCCCTTGTATAATTCTTACAAATTATTTGTTCCTCAATTTTTTTATTCAGAATATAATTCTGTGTTTAGTATTACTATAATTAAACAAAAAAGAGGAAATATGAAAAATTTTCTGGAATTATCAGAAGTGAATATTAAAATTTCTCCAATGAGCTTAAATATTGATTCTTATTTTATTATAGAAATATTAAAGATATTTGATGAGCTTTTAAAAATCCTAGATTTTGATTTAAGTAACTATAATTCTCTTAATTTAGAAAAAAATATAGAATTAAAAGATAATGATTTTGACAGTTTAGAATATAAAAAAGATTTAGGTCCTTTAGATGGGTTAATAAAACATTATATATTAAAAGATTATTATTTATATGAGCAAATAGCAAACTTTAAATTTAATATAAATTACGATTTAGATAAAAGTAATGACAATATATTTAATTCCAACGATTTATTTAATAAAAATAGCACTGATATATTAGATTTAAAAAGGTATATTGCTATGATAAATGAATATAAAAACTTAGAAAAAAAAAAAAAACAATTTGACGATCAAGATGTTAAAGAAAAAATGCAGTTAGATAATATTATAAATCATTTACATAAGAATGAAGCAAAAAATAATTTAACTAATGATAGTAATAATAATTATATTAAAAATTCCAATAATCATCATAATAATACAAATGATTACGTGGAACAAGATAATGATTATTTTTATTCTATTAATAATGATACTCCATTATATAATAGAAGTATTGAAAAAGAAGAAAAATTTGTATCATTAAAAAAGAAAAGGGAAGAATCCTACATTAATAGTAATAATAATTTTGATATATTTAATGAAGAGAAATTACAGTATTTATATAAATGTGAAAAAATTTACAAAAATTCATTAAATAATAGGAAAAAAATTTTAAAAAAAATACAAAATATAAATATGAAAAATAATTTAATTAGCCTTGACAAAATTTTTATATCTAAATTAGAAATTGATGAAATGAAGTTAATAATAAATATAAAAAATAGAAGTTTAAGCTACGATAAAAAAAGTCAAATAATGGAATCAAATGTTATGAATGCATTGGTTGTTCTAATTATGAATATTCCAAATATTAGTGATGCACATATACATTTTGATAAAGAAGTAAAAAAAAATATATGTGGTTCATTATATGTGTTGTTATTTGATGAAATTATGAATGATTATATTAATCCAGGAATTAATCAAATGTTTAATGTTTTAGGTGCTGTAGATTTTATTGGAAATCCGTTAATAATTTACAAGCATTGGAAAAAGGGTTATATTGCATGTATTGAAGATTTAAAAAAGAGTGTTGATGCATGTTCTTTCCCTTTATTATTTTGTATTTTGTTATTAAATACTTTGGGAAAGTTTGGAAAAAGTTTATTATCAGGACTACTTGATAGTGTTAGTAGATTATGTGGTAGTTGGAGTACTTGTTTTGAAAGATTTTCAAGAAATGCTGATAATTACAGTATTTTTACAAATAGTAATTTTTTACAAAATGAAATTTTAGATCAACCATCAAATTGTGCTGAAGGAATTTGCTATGGGTGCCAATCATTTTTAAGCATTATTACTATTAGCTGTGCTAATACTTTTTACAAACCTTTTATTGCTATAAAAAAAAGCAAAGATGTTCGAAAAAATGAAAAAGATAAATTTAAAATTTTTCTGTCTACTTTAAAAGTTCTATCTTATGGATTATTCAGTGGTTTTAGTAGTTTCTTCTTTGGAATATTTAATAGTATTTTTTCTTTTTTCACCTTTTTATTTATTGGTACTTTAAATCAAATACAAACATTGACTATGAAATCTATCATTAGACCAAAAAAAATGAGCATAATAAAAGATTATGCAAAATTTGTTGATTATGAATATCCTTTATCATTTTCTTATCATGTCATTAATGAAGAAAAGAGAAAAAAAGAACTCTTAAAAAAAAATATTGTAGCCATTATTCTATTATATACTATAAAGGAGAATATTCCTAGTAATATAAAAAGTTTCTTATGGATTAGTAATAAAGAAATAGGATATTGCCAAAAGAATAAATTGTTGTGGTGCTTATCTATTAATTGCATTATGAAAGTTGACATTTTATTAATTCAAATGGATAATGGCCAAACAAAAAATTGTTCAACTATAAGTTATAATAAAAATAAAAATAAAATTAATAATAAAAGTTCTAGTTTATATAATAATAATAATAATAATAATAATAATAATAATAATAATAATAATAATAATAATAATAATAATAATAATAATATAAATGAAGAGAAAAATAATAAAAGTAAAACGAAATGGAATCTCAGAAGTATTTTTAATCCACACAATTTTAGGCAATTTGGTGATTTTAAACCTTCTTATTATATTAGAATACTTTATCGATCGTTATATAAAATAAAAAAAACATATAGAAAAAACAAGGTTAATAATTTTTTATTTAATAAAAAAAATAAATCATATTATAAAATGAAACAAATTTTAAAAAAAAATACTTACGAAAAGTATTTTGAAAAAAATTTCAAAGAGCAGTTATCCTATGACAAAGACGAAAATTCTAGATCAGATATAGTGAATAATAATGATTATAAAAGAAACTGCAAAATAAAAAATAATATTCAAAAAACAGAAGGACATTATTCAAATAGTCAAAGTCATAATGAAATTAATAACCTAACAAAGGTAAAGAATTATAATGATTTCATTTTACAAAACGATGAAATAAACAAGAAAGAGGAATGCAAAAAAAACTATACATATAAATACCAGCAAAAGGATATAAAAATTAATGAACAAGCAAGAAGTATAAATAAATTAAAGAGTAAAAAAATGAATTCCCATAAAAATAATGTTTACAAAAAAAAAAAATATATATATATTTCTAAGTTAGTCAAATGTGAATCTAAAGAAGTTGCTCTTCATGCTTTTTCACTTCTTTTATCATTTATTATACATAAATCTCCTTATTATTTGAAAACTGTAAATTAGGAGTTACAAAAAAAAAAAAAAAAAAAAATAAATAATTTATAGTAATACCTTAAAAATACTATTAAAAATTGTAAAGCAAACTTCAAATCCTAATACAATATTATATAATAAAAATATAGAACATTATTATATCTCAAAATATCATAAAAGATTTAATAAGTAATATGAAAAAAATGAAATAGAAATTACATTTTCATTAGAACATTTAATTATATATAAATCTATATTATTTTTAATTGTTAATTTTGCTTTAAAAAAAATTTATATTTATAAGTAATATATATTTGAAAAATATAAGACAAAAGTACACTTATTTTATTAATTACTTTTTATTTTTTATATATTTTGTTATAGGATTTTGTTAATTTAATTAATTTTTTATGTGAATTTAATTTATTTAAATGAGTATATTTTTTTATAGTTATTTTATAACATTTTTATTATATTTTACCAAATTAAGATTTGCATTATATAATATTATATTTTTTACTTTATTGTTACCCTTTTTTTTTTTTTGTTAAATCTATTTGTATATACAATTTTTTTAAATAACTACTTAGTATAATTTTAAAGCCCTGGTTGTATATTTACATTAGCATTTTTAGACTTTTTTTCTATCTAAATAAAATCACGTAATTTATTATATTAACTTTATTTTTTTTATTATATTTTTTTTTTTTTTTTTTTTTTTTTTGTTTTTATATATTTTCCGAGTATGTGTAATATGTTCCTTAATATGTTATCTTCATATATATAATATTATTTCTTATGATTCCCAGAAATTATAAAAAAGAAAAAAAAAAAAAAAAAAAAACTTTTTTATTTTTCTATATATTTAGAATAATCAATTAAATAAGCATATTAAAAAATAGACAAACATATGTAAAAGAAGGGTCTATTCAAATCTGTCAATTTTTTATTTTTAAAATATTTTTAGATAAAAAAATATTATACAGATTTTTATTACCTTGTTTTAAATTAAGTTTGCTAAATTTTAAACGTTTTTCATTATCCATATACAGAAAATATAAATAAAAAATAACCAATATACACTTTCTTTACTTAAGATCATAAGAGAATGTTAATAAAAAATTATTTTATAGTTAAAATGTTATATTATATATTCTATGTACAACAATCAATAGAATTTATAATAAATTAAAATATTTTAATTTTTTAAAGGTGACATTTTAAAAAAGTAAAAGAAAGTTAAAAATAAAGTTTTTATTGATTTTTAATTTATTATTAAATATATCTTCGAAAAATTTAAAACATATAAAAAATAATTCAAAATTTTATTTAAAATGTGTAATTTCATGAAGGAATTGTGTGTGCAAATTTTTTTTTTTTTTTTTTTTTTTTTTGATATTCAATATATTTGTGCATATTTAGTAAATAGTTATTTTAAGAATTGTAATTTAAATAAAGAAAAAAAAAAATAAAATAAAACAAAATAATAACGATACATCTTAAAGTATATCCCCTTTTTATTTTTTATTATTTTAATACATATTAATATTTTGAGATTTGTTGTTTTTTAATTTGTTTTTTATTTATTAATTTTTTTTTTTTTTTTTTTTTTACCATTTAAATTACTAAATAAATTTTATATATAATAATAATGAAATAGAAAGAATAATTAATAAAATACAACTCTTATTAATTAGTTTTATTCGTATAAAAATGTATTTCTTCTTTTATGTTTTTCTTCCACATGCAAATACATTTTCTTTTTTTTAACAAAATATATTAAAAAACATAGAAAAATTTTGTCACATTCTTGCATGATAAAAGAAAAAAATGTGAAACCGAAAAAACCGTTGTCCTAAAATAGTAATAAAAAAATTTTATTTTTTAAAATAAATATTTTCTTTCTCTATTTCTTTTTTATAATGATTTATCATATATAATTTTGTATGATAACTTTCAAATATGAAGATAAGTGATTTAAGTACAAAAGTGTGAAATTGAAACAAAATTATATGTGCATAATATCTTATTTATTGTTGAAAAAATTTTTATTCAGACATTTTTTTTTCTTTTTTTTGAATATTTAATTAATAATCTACATAATATATTTGTTAAAAAAAAAAAATAAACTTTTTTTCTATAAAATTATAAAATTTTTTACAATTGTCTATATGATTAAATAGTAATGTAATAACATCAGTAAATAGTTTAATTTTTATTTACTATTTTTTTTTTTTTTTTTTTTTTTTTTTATTGGATAAAATATTTTATAGAGAAAAAATTCAGGTACATTTAAAATTAAGATTGAAATATTTTAAATATTTAAAATATTTTTTTTTTTTTTTTTTTATATATATGTATCTATTTTAAAATTATTAAGTGCATGAATTATATTTTTATTATTTTTCTTAATTTTTTATTACACAAAATGAATGTGTTTTTTTGGTGATTTATCTATAGATATTATCTACATTAATTTGAACAAATAATGCAAATGAATTTCTATATTTAATTTTATTATTTACTATTTTGTTAGTATATAATTTTAATTTTTGATTTTTAAAGTTTTATATAATATTTCAATAGCTGTTTTAGGTTTTGTGATTTTAATTTTCCTTAATCTGAACTGTTTTTTTCTTGTCCTTTATGTATATATTAACTAGATAAAAAAAAAAAAAAAAGAATTACGAAAATTGAATTTATGTAAGAAAGCAATTATAAATTTTATATAACCTTTGTTTTATTATTTTATTCCTATTTTTTTTTTTTTTTTTTTTTCTTTTCTGGCAAATATTTTTATAATTTTCTTGGTTAACAAAAAGGATAAAACAAAATAACAGATGAAACTATATTAATGAAAAATATAGCATTAGAATAGAAAATGGATTGTGACAAAGTAAAATCGAGTAGTATTTCAAATTTTTCTGTCACATATGATAGAGAATCTGTTGGTAATACAAATAGTGAAAAAAGCTTAAGTAGTAGTGAAAATGAATCTAATTCTTTTATGAATTTGACTATTAATAAAAATGAAAAAACAGAAAACAATAGCTTTCTTCTAAATAATAGCAGTTTTTCAAATGTAAAAGATAGCTTACTAGAGTCTATTGATTTGAGTGTATTAGATTCAAATTTGGATACAAAAAAAGGTTTTTTTCCAAGTAATTTATCAAAAAATTTGAATCATTTATCAAAAGAAAATATCAGTAATAAATATTTAGATAAATTATTAAATAAAAGTGATTCTTTACTTATGAACAAAAAAAAGGATATAAATTTAACAAATAATAATGCAAAGATTCTTAATAACAATCAAAAAGAAAATTTTTTCGATTCTACGAATCACACAAATATTAACGAAGATTCTACCATAAATACTATAAAAAAATACACAAATAATAATAATCTTAATGATATATATGAAAAAAAGATAATAGAAAATGAATTAAATGATGCAAGTGATTTTGAGAACATGGTAGGTGATTTAAGAATCACTTTTATAAATTGGTTAAAAAAAACTCAAATGAATTTCATTAGAGAAAAGGATAAGTTACTTAAAGATAAGAAGGATTTGGAAATGGAAAGGACTAGATTATACAAAGAATTAGAGAATAGAAAAAATGTAGAAGAGCAAAAATTACTTGAAGAAAGAAAAAAATTAGACATAGATATAGCAAATAGCTACAAACAAATAAAAAAAGAAAAAGAAGAACATAGAAAAAGATTTGATGAAGAACGGCTACGATTTCTTCAAGAAATAGATAAAATAAAATTAGTACTTTATTTAGAAAAAGAAAAATATTATCAAGAATATAAAAATTTTGAAAACGAAAAAAAAAAAATAGTTGACGCAAACATTGCAACAGAAACAATGATTGATATAAATGTGGGTGGAGTAGTTTTTGAAACCTCTAGACACACACTAACGCAACAAAAAGATTCCTTCATAGAAAAGTTATTAAGTGGTAGACATCATGTAACAAGAGATAAACAGGGAAGAATGTTTTTAGATCGTGATAGTGAACTCTTTCGAATTATACTAAATTTTTTAAGAAACCCATTAAGTGTTCCAATACCAAAAGATTTAAATGAAAGTGAATCTTTACTAAAAGAAGCAGAATTTTATGGTATTAAATTCTTACCATTTCCATTAGTTTTTTGTATAGGTGGTTTTGATGGAGTAGAATATTTAAGTTCAGTAGAACTACTAGATATTAGTCAACAATGCTGGCGCATGTGTACTCCAATGTCTACTAAAAAAGCATATTTTGGTAGCGCAGTTTTAAATAATTTCTTATACGTATTTGGAGGAAATAATTATGATTATAAGGCTTTGTTCGAAACAGAAGTATATGATCGCTTAAGAGATGTTTGGTATGTTTCTAGTAACTTAAATATACCAAGAAGAAATAACTGTGGTGTTACATTAAATGGAAGAATTTACTGTATTGGTGGTTACGATGGTTCGTGCATACTTCCAAATGTAGAAGCTTATGATCATAGGATGAAAGCCTGGATCGAAGTTGCTCCATTAAATACACCTAGATCTTCAGCAATGAGTGTAGCTTTTGATAATAAAATTTATGTTATTGGTGGAACAAATGGAGAGAGATTAAATTCAATCGAAGTATATGATGAAAAAATGAATAAATGGGAACGATTTCCTTATGCATTATTAGAAGCAAGAAGTTCTGGTGCAGCGTTTACTTATTTAAATCAGATATATGTTGTTGGAGGTATTGATAATGAGCATAATATTTTGGATTCACTAGAACAATATCAACCTTTTAATAAAAGATGGCAATTTTTAAACAGTATTCCAGAAAAAAAAATGAATTTCGCTTCAGCTACTTTATCTGATTCATATATTATAACGGGAGGGGAAAATGGGGATGTTTTAAATTCTTGTCATTTTTTTTCTCCAGATACTAATGAATGGCAAATAGGGCCTTCATTACTTGTACCAAGGTTTGGTCACTCAGTACTAATAGCAAATATATAAAAAAGAATAAAAGAAGTTTACATAATTATTAAAATATAAAAAGAATTAAAAATATTAATAAATATTATATATATTTACATATATAGAAATAAAAATTTTGTTATTAAAAAATATAAAAAATATATAGCAACGAAAACTTTATATATATGCATATAATAAAATAAAGATTATAAATAAACAAATATAGAAGTAAAAATAATAATAATAATAATACTATATCCTTTTTATATTCTAATTATATTTTTAATAAAAATAAATATGCTTAAGATTTTTTTTTTTTTTTTTTTTTTTACGAAAGGAATCTATTTTTTTTTTTTAAAATACAATTTTAATATTTTTTACATTATATCATTGATTTTATTTTTTAATATTCCTTTTATTATATATTTAATTGTTAATTATTAAATTCATTTTACTAATTTATATTTTCATAATATTCTGTAAATACTAATAGATATTTTGTTGTGTAATCTTTCATAAATCTTAAATTTTTTTCTATATGTATGCATGTAAAATTTTTTTTAGGAAATATTTGTATATAAATTTTTGTTTAACTTCTATTCCTTTTTCTTCTTTCTTTTCTTTCTTTTCTTTCTTTTCTTCCTTTTCTTTTTTTTTTAATTTTGTTTGCTTGATGATGATTTTAAGACAAGTAATTTAGAAAAAAAAAAGTTTAAAAGTCAATAAAAAAAGTTATAATATAAAAAAAAAAAAATATGAACTTTTTAAGGTTCAATGCTCAACGCAATATTATAAAACAATTTTTTTTTTTTTTTTTTTACATACATAGAGAAAAAGGAAAATATAATAACAATTTAAAATTAAAATGATGTAATGTTATTTATATAACTTTTTATTTATAAGACAAAATTAAATTTAAAATTAAATATAAGTAGATATGGAAACTAAAGGAATAACAATTTTAAATACATTCATAAAGATTTATGATTATAAATAATAACACAATATTTTAAATATTTAAGGATTTAAATTTTTGTTTTATCGTTCTTTTATTTCTTTTGTTTATTGTTTAAAATGGAAAGTGTTATCAAATTATTAGAGCATCATAATCAGTCGCAATTGTGCGAACACCTAAGAAATTATTCTTTGCATAATTTTGATACATCAGATTTAAATAATTTGGAAATTTTTCTGAAAAAAATGAATGAAATAACGAATTTAGAAGAGGAGAAAGAAAAAGAATATATAACATATGTACCCAAATTGATAGACATTGACAGTATCTATGATTGTAAAAACCCAGAAAATGGAAGTATTTTTATAAATATGTATAAAAAAAAATGTGTACTTAATGAGTTAAGATGTTTAGGTTTAGAAATTATAAAAAAAAATAAAGTTGCTGTCATACTTTTAGCTGGAGGACTTGGATCAAGGTTAGGCTTAAGTAAAGCTAAAGGGTTATTAGAAGTAACCCCTTTGTTGAATAAAACATTTTTCCAAATATATTTTGAACAAATTAATTTTTTAGAGTCATTTTGTTCTTTCAATGAAAAAATAGAAATTCCAAAGATTTCAGAAAATGAAAATAAAAATAATCCTAGCACCAATAATAGTGAATGTGAAGTAATGGATAAAAAAAATAATAATGATATAAGTTGTAATAATAAAAATAACAATAGCTTTTTGAACCAGAATTTTAATTGTATAAATTCTTCAAAACCTTCTCTATCAAAAGATGATCAAAATAGTATATTTCTAAATAATTCTTGTAATAAAAAAGTTTCTATTTACATTTATATAATGACATCCAATTTCACGCATGACATAACAGTTAAATATTTAGAGGAAAATAAGTTTTTTGGTTTAAAAAAAGAAAATATTTTGATTTTTAAACAATGTGATAATTATTCTACTGATTTTAATTATAATCTCCTTTTAACAAATCCAAATAAACTACTAACAAATCCAGCAGGTAATGGAGATATTTTCAGAGCAATAGATAAAAATGGCATAATTGAAGATATGGTAAATAAAAATATAAAATACATTCAAATTGTAAGTATTGATAATGTGTTAAATAAAATTGCAGATCCTGTATTAATTGGATTTTGTTCTTTTTTTAATTGTGATATTGCTAATAAATCAGTAAAAAGAAAAGAAAAAGAATCAATGGGTATTTTCTGTTTAAGAGAAAAAAAAAAAAAAAAAAAAAACTCAAACAAGGTGCACAATTACTTTTCAGTTTGTGAATATACAGAATTACCTAATGACATTTCAAAAAATTCAGAATTATTTGAATATGGAAATATATGCCATCACATGTTCTCTTTTGACTTTTTAAATTATATTGTCAAAAATAAAATATATGATAAAATGAAGTTGCATAAAATTTCAAGGAAAAAAGATTATTATGATTTAAGTCTAAAAAACAAAAAATCTAATCCATTAGTTAATAATATTGCATATTGCTATGAATATTTTATTTTTGATGTATTTAAATATGCCAGGAAAATTTTATCTTTTGAGATTTCAAGAGAAAAAGAATTTAGTCCAATAAAAGGTAATAATAAGGGTGATAGTATATTGGAAGCTCAAAAAAATTTAAGCAATTTGCATAAATCATGGCTTATAAATCAGAACTTTAATATAATTGATAATAGAGATGAAAAACTTAATTTTTGTGAAATATCACCCCTTGTTTCGTATGATGGAAATTTTTTTTTTGATTTACCTAAACATAAAACTATACATTTGCCATATTTTCTAGATAAAAATTCTCATTAAATATTTATATGTTAATTAATTAAGATATATGAATATTTTTTTTTTTTTTAAGTATATTAACTATGGTTCACAAAAAAAAAAAAAAAAGAGTCTACAAATAAAGCTGTTGATTATATTTAAATTATTATTTTATCATAAAAAAATAAACATAATTATATTATATATCCTTATAAATATGTATAATTTTATTTTTTCTTCTCAAGCAATAAAAAGCATTTTTAAGGAATTTTTCTTCCATCTGGCAAGATTAATGGATCTCTAACTTTTTTTGGCCTTGCAAAATGATTGTCAAAAAGTTTTCTTTTTTCTTTCTCGTTTATTATAGGAAATTTATCACCAATCTAAAAATTAAAAAAAAAAAAATAAAAAAAATGAAATAAATTAGACTTGTTTGAGTATTTATATTAGTAAATTTTACCTTTAAATTATTTTTTTTAGCATGCCCTGGCTATAAATAAATTTTGTAAAAAAAAGGAAAAAAAATATTAAAATAAAGAAAAAATGGCATTATTAGTTGCAATAAAAAATTCTATCATCAAATATTGTAAATAAAGAATAAAAATTCGTGTAGACATATAAATAATTTTAATTTTTAATTTACCGCAGTCGTTATTAGAAATCTTGGTTCTTTATATCTTTGACTTTCTTCTAATTTTTTATCATATGGAGGTCTATTTTCCTGTAATAACAAAAAAAAAAAAGAAGATTTTCAAAAAAGTAAAATAAGATTATAATACCTTATTTACACATATGCTATTATATATATATATATATTTATTTTAATTATTTATTATTCCATTCTTTTCTCTTTTTTAATGTATTTACTTCAATATTCATTATAGTTCCATCAGAGTGAACGTAATAGATATCACACCTAAACATGTCATAATTTATTTGTTTCTCTGGTGGTGCTCTTCTGTTATATTTTTCTATCACTTTTTTTGCCTTAACAAATTTAAGAGGGTCTCCATATAATAAACTTTTTAATTTTTTTCTTCTATAGAAATGCATATTTGTTGATGGATCACCATTTTTTATAATTTCGTCTAAACTTGGAAAAATATTTGATTCCTTCTTTTCATTTTCAAATTGAAAACCTTCTTCTTTCAATCTTTGTTTTACATTGTAGTCTATTGGTTCAAAACTATCTACAATATTTTTGAATGGAGAAAAATAAAACAAATTTGATAAAGGGCATGCAGGTTTTTTTGCATATTTTGGAAATTTTTTATCATTTCTTATATTTAATTCATAACATTCCATTTTCCTTTCTGGCCTAATTTTATTTGATTCATTATACGAATTACATATCTTTATTTTTTTTTTTTTTTTATGGTATGCTTTATATTTAGGAATATAAAAATATTTTGTGTATGCTTCTTCATTTATATAATTAGGTTTTTTAAAAAAAATATAATTAGCTTTTTTATTAAAAACTATTTTTAAATTTATATATATTAAAATAAATGTAACCAATAGAACTTTCTTTTTCAGTGTATTATACATTTATTACTAAAAAAAATTATATTTAAAGAATATTAACAAAAAATGAGAAACAATAGATATTAACAATAGATTATTTTTAAAAATATATAAAATTAATCATAATTACAAATATAATGGTTGTTTACTTTTTAATTTATCAAAATATATGGAAAAAAAAAAAAATAAAAAGTTTTTAATAAGAGACTTATTATGATATAGTTTAGTATTAACTATATGATAACTTCTCAACTTGCATAACTAAATATTAAAAAATAATTTATTAGCATCTCTTTTAAAATTTTTAATATTTTGTATTTAATAAAAAAAAAAAAAAAAAAAAAAAAGATAAGAAGCAATTGAAAAATTCATATAATTTTAATTTAAAAGGAATTTTTATAAATCATTTAAAAAAAATTATGAAATTAAAAAAAAAAAAGAAAATTCATAATTATAAAATTTTAATTTATTCTTTAAAAAAAAATTATAATTTTAATAAGTATAAAAATAACATTAAGTATTATAATAATAAATATATATTTATTAAATTTTTTTTTTTTTTTTTTTTTTTGTCATAAATTTACATAATAAAAGATAATTTTTAAAAGAAAAAGTATACACATATATATGTTTTTGAATCTATTGTATGTTGCTTTTATCTTTCTTATATTTTTTTAATTATTTATATGAATACAATATATATAAATATTAAAATAAATTAATAGACATCTATCCATTTTTTATAAATTTATCTATTTATTTTTACTCTTCTGAATTCCAATCTTTGAACATCAATATAAAGTCATCCATTCCTAGTTTCTGAGGAGCTAAATTCATTTCTTTATTTATTTTATTTCCATCTTGCTCTAAAATATGATTAGCAGTGTATTGTTTACTTTGGTGAATTTGTAAAATTCTCTCTTCAACTGTTTTTTTTAAAACAAATTTATAAATATCTACATCTTTTAATTGACCAATTCTATGTACTCTTTCAAACGCCTGATCTTCTACAGCTGGATTCCACCATAAATCCATTAAGTATACTTTTGATGAAACAGTTAAGTTTAAACCTACTCCTCCAGCTTTTAAAGAACATAATAACACTTTTCCTGCAACATCTTCTATAGGAATAGTATATGAGGGTTTAATAAAACCAATTCCTGGTTGATATATTTTTCCTTTTTGTATATTGAACCAATGCAATACAGTTTTTCGTTGCTCAAAGGTTAAGGTACCATCATATATTTTATTTGGAATGTTATAAAGTGTTAATAATTTTTGAATAATTTTTAGAAATCCTATCCATTGTGAAAAAACTACTATATGTAATTCATTTTTCATGTCATCTTGAATATGTTCAAATAATTTTTTCAATTTTGTTGAATAAACAAAATTTTCTTTTTTCATTTTCTTTAATAATTCATCTAATGGGGATTTATTTTCTTGTAATGTTTTCAATGATTTTAAATTTATATAATTATTGCATTGTGGACATTTTTTATCAGCTATTTGAGTTAAATGAAAATAATCATCTGCGCATTTTTTACACATTATATGTAAACATTTACTAATTAATGGAAAAGTGGCATCTTCTAAGCAAATAATACATTGTATTGCATTTCCATTTTTTAACATTTCAAACTCATTTATATAATCATCATCTAATTTTTTTGATTTAGTTGAACCTAATATAAAATTATATATTATATTTTTTTCTTCCTTGTTATTAATTGGATCATTTTCACTATTTTGATCTTTAATATAATCATTATTAAAAAAACTATTCCCATTTTTTTTTTCCTTTAATAAAGTATCATTTCCATTTATTAATGCATTGCTCATATCTTCTTTATTCCATTCTTCAAAAAAAGGTTTTGAAAATAATAACAAAGGATGAGAGCAACACTGCCTTAATCTTAACAAAAGTTGTAGAACATGAGAATAATGACTTAATACATTTCCATCATGCATATAAGTATCAAATTTGGTTTTGCTTCTATAAAAAATAGCTCTATAAAAGTCTTCTTCTTCTAATGAAAATTCTAGTTTTTCTAAATGAACATTTTTTTTTGGTAAGGAAATTATATAGTTCCCATCTTTTGTTTTAGATTTTTTTGTTCTCCTTAACAAAATGGGAGAGGAAATTTTTCTGACAACATCTAAAGCTAAATATATCCTATTTTTATTTACATAATCTAAAATTTCTTTGTTCCACCACTCAATTGTTCCATATGGTTTTATTCCTAAAAATCTAAATAATGGAAATATATCAAAAATTGAATTTTGTATAGGTGTTCCTGTTAGACACCATTTTCTTTCTCCTCGTAATTTCCATACTGCAATTGATTGAATTGAATTCTTATTTTTTATCACATGAGCCTCATCTATAAATATTCTTCTCCATATAATTTTATATAGAGAACATTCTTTGATGTCATTTATTAATTTATTTGAATTTTTTTCATCATTAGTCTTTACTCTATTGTCACTGAGGTCATTACTAGAGTTTAATATGGTTTTCATAAAAAAGTTATTTAATTTTTTTTTATTAACTTTATTTAAACTATTTTGAAGTTCTTCTTTATTGTTTCTTTTACTTTTTGTAATATTGTCTTCCTTAAGAGTGTATCTTTTAGTTAATGTGTTTTTATATTCAGATACTAGAGTGGAATAGGTTGTTAAAACAACAGAATATTTTGATAATTCTTCACTACTTATATCTTTTGAATTACCATAATATATATAGGAACTTATAAATCCCTCTCTTGTATGTCTTTCTATTTCTTGTTTCCACTGATATATCAAAGCTAAAGGTGCAATAACTAATGTTCCTCCCTTTTTAAAGTTGAATCCTCTTATAGTATTTTCAATTAAATATATGATATTGTTTTTATTTTCTATATCGTTTTTTTTTAGATGAAAATTATTACAGTAAATATCATGAGTTATCAATCCAATACTTTGAATAGTTTTACCTAATCCCATTTCATCCGCTAAAATACCACCTCTAAAAGGAGGAATATATTGAGGATATGTTAATGAAAATTCTCCTGTTAATTTATTAATATAAAAATATTTTAATACACATATAATTTCTTCTTTTTCATATATTTTTATGTTTGGAATAAAAGCGTGCTCTTCCCATAATGGATTTAATGGTTCTTTATTTCTTATATCTTCATCCTCATTTTCAAAGATCATAAGATTATTTTCTTTTTTAGATTTTTCATTTTTACAATTGTTTACATTATAATAATTTTCATTTTTGGAACTACTAAAAGTATTCTTATGGATTTTGTCATCAAATTTTTCATTAATTTTCATTACATTCACTTCATTTTCTATAATATTTTCAGATAAATTAGGACTCCTGCTGTTTTCATCTATTATTATTTCTTTTATATTATAATGTTCCTCTTTCCTCTTCGAATATTCCGGAGGATTTTCTCTTGTGTACATCCACCAAATACCTTCTGCTTGGTATGTTTTTAATTTGGGTTTAAAATAAAAATCATTAGGATAAATTTCTTCAAAATCTTCAAGTAAATATCCTCCTCTATATTTTTCTTCTATAAAAACTAAATTTGTAGCTTGCTCATCTCCTTCTTCTATTTCGTTTTCACTCAAGGTCTCTATTATTTCTTCTTCCTTCGTGGTAGTCAAATTTGATAAATCTAAATAAATAATAGTATAAATGAATATTTGTTACAAAAAACAATTATATAGATGAATTTTCTTTTTTTTTTTTTTTTTTTTTTAATTCAATATGTTCATTTCGTACCTGAAACTGTTTTTTTTGGATTAAAACCCAAGGCTTTGTGAGGTGTACAAAAACCACTTGATCCAGAACTACTTTTATTTAAATTTTTGTCTTTCATATAGTTGATAGTGGTAGATTTTAGTAGGTTATTTGATAATAATAAATCATCTTTATTAACCTTAAAATTAATATTTTCAAAGGAATTTGTATCATCAACCTTTGCTAATCTTAAAGGAGGAATCTTTAATTCCTTGAACAAATTATTTACACAATATTTTATTAATGAATTATACTCATGAAATTTATGAGAATCTATTTTGAAACAGTCTGGATATAATATAACATGAATAAATGTTTTTAGACTTCCACCAAACTTTAAATCGTTTAATGATATTTTTGCTAATTTTATTTCTATTCTTATTGCATTCAAAACTAGAAGAACACTTAAAGTTTTTGATAAATCACTTTTAAGTTTTGAAACATCCCTATTATTATGCTTAATTCTTATACATGAATATCCTTCATAGATGTCTTTCAAAACCTCACTTTTAAATTTTTCGTATTCAACAAATTTTTTATCTTCGGAAATAATTTTTTCAGCTTCATAATATAACTCATTATAATTCTCATTATATGAAGTTGAATTTCTTTTTTTTACTGTATTTTTTTTTTTTTTTACTTTATTTGTATTTGAAGGTATATTTCTAGCAATTATTTTTACATAATCATTGGATATTACATAATTATTATTTATTTTTAATGTATACATTGGAGAATAGGATCTTTTTGTTGTTTTTGGAGAAACTTCATAACTTATTTTTACGTCATTATCATTTTTAATTTCACTTACTTCACTTGATAAAATTATTGATTCAGCTTCTATGCATCCTAAGTAATACTCAAAAAAAACACCCTTATCTCTTATAAATTCTGCTTTCTTTTTTGATAATTCAAATTCTTTTATCTTTTGTAATTTTATTTTTTCATAATTGTAGTTATTTATGTCTTCAATAATTTCAACTAAAAAATAAACAGATAATAAATATATAATTAATTATTAAAAAGTATAAATCTGTTCTATTTTTATTAAAAATAAATTTAATTCTTCAAAAATAACACACCATTTTTAAGATTGCATACAACATAATTCTCATAATCCATTTAATTTATAAGATATATATTTACTCATATATAATTATATATATATATATATTTTAGAATTACATATTTTTTATTTGAATTTAGTAATAATCCCTTTTTTTTTTTTTTTTCTTTTTATTAAGCTTACTGTCGCTGTTTATTTCTTGTAATTTATTATAAGTCAAATTTTTTCGAACACCTTTTTCAAGAGAATCTGATTCATTTATATTGGTGTAGTTTGGTTCATTATCATTTAAACTTATTATTTCAATTACATCACTATCATAATTATATTTTGATGAGCTGAATGACTCTTTATAGATTTTAGTTTCATTTTTAAAATAATTTGAACTAGTCATTTAAAATAAAAAAATATGTAATATTTATTAGGCAAAAAAAAAAAAAAAAAAAAAAAAAAAATTAAATTTAAATATAATTAAAAAATTGTATTTCTAAGTTAAACAAAAAAAAAAAAAAAATAAAATAAAAATATAATATACAATGGAATAATTTTATTCAAAGACAGTTCTTTTAGAGATCTAAAAAAAAAAAAAAAAAAAAAAAATTACAAGAATTTTAAGTGAAAAAACATTATATAAAGAAAGTTAAATAATAAAATAAAGGTAATTAAATCAAAAAATTAATATAAAGCTACAAAATTTTATTAATAAGGGAAAAATACTTATTATATAAAAATAATGTTATAAAATATAAATTGGACTTTTAGTTATTATTTATTTCCTTTTATAACTACCTTAAGACATAAAATAGATATGTCGTTATTTTTACAATATTTATTATTTTAATTTACAAAAAAATTCTTAAAGATTTTCGGTTAAAAATTATTGTAAAAATTTTAAATATTAAGATTTTCTTTATTTTCCAATAAAAATCAAATTATATTAATAATTTGACTTTCCAATACTTAAATTCATTTTTATTTAAAAAAAAAAATGAAAGACAAACATTTTTATAAATTCTGTAACTAAAAAAATAAGGGAATAAATCGAATACTATAAATTGGAAAAAAGGCAAGCATAAAAAAAAAAAAAAAAGAGAAATACATGAGAGGGAAGGAAAGAAGATATAAATGAAAAAAAAAAGGAATGGAAAAAGAAAAAGAGAAAAAATAGAATATAAAAAAAGAAGAAAAAAAAAAAAATATCTTTAAATAATAAATATTTCAGTATGTGACATTTAAATAAAAGAATATAAAATAAAAAATTTTACTTTATTAAGGGATAAAAATAAATTTCAACAATTTTAAAACTTCAAGAAATTGAAATTTCCAATTTTTGATTTATTGAATTCATTACGGCCACAAACAAATATTTGCTTATTTCTTTTCATTATGCAAATTTTTATATATAAATTGATTGTAATATTTCATTTAAAAAAAAAGCAAATTAAGTAAAAATAAATGCAATAAATAGGTTGTAAATGTGGCATTTACATGGAATCCTTGATTTTTAAAGTTAAAATCAATTTAGCTTTTTTGATTTTAAAATAGAAAATGCTGTTTGACATATTTTATTTTTTATTTTTTTTAGGCAAATCCTAAGAATACTGTGATTTTTTTTTTATTTCATTTTATTTTTTTTTTTTTTTTTTAATTTAATGTTTTAATTGAATTATTTATAATATTCATATTTTTATTTTTAATTTTTATTAAAAAAAAATATATATTTACAGAAAAGCTATAACTTAATATTTTCTATTTCAAAATAATTGTATGATACACATTTATTTTTATAATTTTTAATATATTTTACATATTATTTTTTTTTTGAAGTTTTTGTTTTAAAAATTTTTTGTTTTTAGCATTTTACAAAAATTAATATTTATATACTAGATATTTTTTTTTAGTAAAAATTTTACACAAAATAAAAAAGTATTATAAAATAATTTTAAATATATATGCACAAATCAATTATATTTATTTAAATAAAAAATTATTTCGTCCTATTTTCATTATAAAAAAAAAAAAAATAAATAAATTTTATATTTTCGTGAAAAATACATTATTTTGTATACGTAAATATTGAAGATTATTATAGTTTTTTTAGTTTTTTCTTTATTAGTATTTTATTTTTTTTTTTTTTTTTTTTTTTAAAA